TTTTTGTTTTCCATTTACGTGTGTGTTTCAGTTTACTCTAATCGACCCATACAATGCTACAAAAATCAAAAACCCGTTAAAAATACTAAACGATGTAATTTATTTGCAAATAAAGTTAATCGAAGAGATTTTTGGGACGTACATATTTTTTTCAAATGAAAATATCTTTTGGTGGCACACTAAAAATTATAGTAGTAAATTAACGCACGTTAAAGTTCGTCCTTTATAAATAATCGTGATTATCTCCAAACCCGTTGAAGATAAGTATAGGAAACCTCTATATCAGCCGACGCAGAATTTAATTCTACATGTTCCTGACTGATAAAATTGTTACGGTTTCATTTGAAAAAAAATTAGTTTTCAATCTTTGAAAATTACCGTGTTGGCCGCAAAATTTTGAGGACTTTGTGCGTAGCTAGGTCAAATGTGAAACATTTTCGGTGAATACATAATAAATACTACTAATAATGGAAGTATGTCCAATTATACAAATGGTAGAGATATTTAATACTAATCGCGACGTTTTATCTAGCATTTTTTTTAATAATCTAAATATCTCGAAAACGAAAACCATAAATTTTCAAGGCATGGACGTGGTGACAAAAATTACTCAAATTAACACATAGAATCGACGAATGATATAAAAAAATGGGGTATTCCATTTAAAGCAATGGAGATGACGTCACTTCCGGTGAAACCGGAGGTATCCCACTCTTGAAAGTATTTCAAGACTAAATTGAATACAGATAGCTGTCAAAATTTAATTAACGGGTTACGTGAAAAACCCTAAAAATTAAAATTAAAATTTAAAAAAAAATTTCTTACTTTTCATTAACAAAATATTATGCAATCTGTCTAAGCAAACATATGACATATTCTTATGTATATATTTCTGTAATCAGAAAAAGTAGAGGAATTTAATTTTGTTTATATCTTTAAAACGCAACATTCAATTGTTTTTTTATATAACTTCTTGATATCATATGCGTTCATAATTGTTTTTTATGTATTTATGAAGCGGCTGCCCAATTTATTTTGCACCCNGGGGGCAATATTTCTACGGGGTGTTCTATGTCGAAAAAGATTACTTTTTCTTTATATAAACATGGGTCCAAAAATTCTTCCTAAGGAAGTTATAGCCACTTAAAGGGACCACTCTGATGATGGTTTTTTCTAAATAACTCCGAAACCAGTTGAGATAAATTTATAAAATTTGGTACTTAGCTTAATTCTTACGTGCTCAGTCCGCCACTAAAACGAAATTTATAAATTTTCATCACATACGTTCCAACATGGGTGAGGGCGGTAAAATTTACCATAACTTTTTTATGTGTTGACTTTTTTAACTTTTTACTGAAAAGTATGAAATTTCATAGTTTTTTATTAAAAAAAGATACTCTTGGTTCATAATGGTAGAATGTTCCATTTTTGTGTAAAATCCGTTTAAAAATAATGTTACATGTATTAATCACTGGGAATCGAAATTGTTAATATTTTTTATCGTCGCAGGTTTTGAATAACAAAAATGTATTTGACGTTATTTGCATTGACAGTTCAGTTATTTACTTTTTGTGAATTGTTATTTTCATAGAAATTTATTATTTTTAGTAAATTTGACAAGTAAAAAAAACATTGAAATTAGAAATTATTAAATAAAATAAACTAATAAAAATAATTGAAAACCAACGTATTAATAAAACTTATCTTTATCTCAATAGCAAATGCTCAAACAGATTTCCATTTTGCTGAATACATTTTTCAGCTCGACGTAGAATTGCCCGAGATGAACTCAAAAATTCAAAATTATTTTGTGTGATTTGATTTTCAGCCAAATAAATGAATCCTCTGTTGTAATTCTTCCAAAGGATTTATTTCTGTAGCATAAACTACAGCCTTCATCCTACCCCACAGAAAGTAATCTAGAGGAGGTCTAGTGATCGAGGTGGCCATGGAATGGGACCTCTACCTATCCACCTGCCAGGAAAATGATCGTCTAACCAATTTATGACATTATGGCTAAAGTGAAGTGGTGCCCCATCCAATAGTTCTCTTACATCATTTTGCAGAAAGTTTAAGTATCTTTCTGCATTCAGACAAAAGGGAAACTGAATTGGTCCAAGTAGCTGGTCCGCCAAAATTCCTGTCCACACATTTATTGCAAATCTATTTTGAAAATTTGTGCGCTGTATTGCCTGTATTTAATGGATTTTATACAAAAATGGAACATTCTACCAATATGAAACAAGAGTACCTTTTTTTACTAAAAAACTGAAATTTCATACTTTTCAGTCAAAAGTCAAAAAAGTCAACGCATAAAAAAGTTATGGTAAATTTTACCCCCCTCCCCCCCAGTGTTGGAACGTATGTGATGAAAATTTGTAAATTTCGTTTCAGTAGCGGACTGAACACGTAAGAGTTAAGCTAATTACCAAATTTTATAAATTTATCTCTACTGGTTTCGGAGTTATTTAGAAAAAAACCATCATCAGAATGGCCCGTTTAAGTGGCTATAACTTCCTTAGGAAGAATTTTTGGACCCATGTTTATATAAAAAAAAAGTAATCTTTTTCGACATAGAACACCCCGTAGAAATATTGCCCCCTAATTTCAGGATACCCTGTATATGGAAATGGTCGATTATCTCTTAAAGTAAGATAGCTATCGAAAAATCATAAGGTTTTTAAAGTCTAATACGTACTATAAAGAAAAATTAAGTATACAGGATCAGTCAAAAAGTCATGAGGAAATAGTAATAGTAATAGTAGTATTGGAACACCGTGTATGTTATTCCATATTTCAATTTTTCTCAAAATTCTAAACAAAATTCATATAACACATCATTAACCTAAATTAACCGTTTTTAAAATATCATACTTTGAAAGTAACTTTTTACTAGGTACTTTCAAGTTTATAAAAGAAAAAAGGCTCCAAATTATGGACATTTATTTTATAGTGAATCTAAAGTGTAAAGGGTGTGAAGGAATAGTGGACATTTCGTGCCTTATCCTTTCCTGCAACTGTTCGGTATTTTGCGGTCTATTTTTGTAGACTACATTTTGTATGTGATCCCACAGAAAAAAGTTAAGGGAGACCTAGCTGATCATTCAATTGCCCCTCTGCGTCCAATACATTTATTAGAAAAAGGTTCATCTAGATATGGCCGTACCACACGTCAAAAATGTGGAGAAGCCCCATCATGTTGAAACCGTATTTGTTCTGCCAGTAAATTGGGATTGTTATTGTTCGGGAATAATCATTTAAGCTCTGGAATAAGTAATATGTTCTTGCAAAAGTAATAAATATATTCAGAGTTCAAATTTCCGTTTATAAAATAGGGTCCCATGATATGTCTACCAATAATGCCACACCAAACATTTACTTTCTGTGGTCATTGGGTGTGAACTTCCTCCATCCAATGTGGATTTTGCTCTGACCAATACCTACAGTTGTCCCGGTTTACGTGCCCGTTTAAACAAAATGTAGATTCGCCAGAAAACAATATGCAGTTGACAAAGCTGACATTTTCATTTAATTTATCCATAATAACTTTGCAGAATCGATGCTACAATCATAATCGTCTTGAACAAATGAATTGGAAATAGATGTAATTTTTCCTGTTTGCAAATGTTTTGAATGGAATATCGACTCATGATTTAAAGTGCTTTGTTGTGTCAAGTTTATTGGATTTTCTACCATATCTAACTTGACATTCAAAGAATTTTCTTCATTTGTAACGCTTACTGGTCTTCCACTATTTCGTCGATCTGATCTGTAACACTTCCAGTTTTATGAAAACGCTGCAATGTTTTTGAAACAGTTGATTTAGAAATAAGATGAAGTTTGTTTAGAATTTTGAGAAGAATTGATATTTGGAATAATATGCAAGGTGTTCCATTAAAGAAAAAGTAACTATGTTTCATCATTACTTTTTGACTGATCATGTATTCTTAATTATTCTTTATTGTAATATATTTAAAAAAACCTAAAACGTCTTACTTTAGGATATAATAGACCGTTTGCATGCATATCAGCGACCCTGCAAAATGACTTCAAACAGTTTTTTCTTGAACTTTATAAATATGTTATTGTACCCTTTTTGATGATATCAATTGTATTTTTAATGGCACATATATTACCAGAGTTTTTAGATAAGTTGTGAATCAACCAGTATATAAAACTGATTTATCTCTATTAAAAAAAATTTTAGCCAATATTTTTCCAAAATACTTTCAGTCAAATAATTTTGTTAAAATTGTTTTATTATTTTATTTTCAGGAGAGAAAGATTTTGAGTATTTTGATATTATCTTATTATTTCTATTTATAGCTAAATTAAGTTATTTGTAATAAAGAAATATTAAGTCCAGTTCCAGTTTTTCTGTCTTATTATATCTTTTCCATCTACATCGATAATCTGTTACAAAACTAATATCACGGATGTTCGGATATAAATATCGGTTTTGTTGCATCCCTACTATGATCTGTGCAGAAGTTTGAATCTAACAAATATTTACTTCTAGGTTAATGATATTTATGACATTATCCATAAAAATTTCAAGACTCGAATACGGGATCAACTCGTAAAGATGAACATCCAAAATAACGGTGGTCCCCAACATGGAGTGGTTACTGCTGAAATAATCTTTTACTTAGAAACCATGAAGACATTAAAAGCATTACCAGAAAAATATTTATCAGATAGAGCCATGGACGATATTTGGATGAGGTAATAGCAAGATGTTTGTGCAGTATTGTGAGCTAAATTAATTTTTTATTTAAAAAAAGAAAAATTGTAAATACAAATTGTTTAATTTATTTTATAAAAGTTGTTAACAATTAAATTATATGACAAAACGGATAAATACAGTTTTAAAAAGTATGTGAAATGTTTGATTTAGGGAACATATTTTTATTGCTGACTTAGATATGATTTATCTTTATAGTACATTCTATTTTTGAAAAAATATTATAATACAGTGTTTATTAAATCTTATCAGTCAAGTCTTATTCATGAAAAAGAGAAAACATATTTTTTATATGCATATTTTAAAATGTTTACAGTATTTTTACATTATTCAGTTGAAAGTGGCACAACCCTAAGAGTTACAATGCGTTAATACATCCCAATAATGCTTGAGAACCTGTGATGAGTTCATCTCACAAATTTGTAGTGAATCGGTGAGCAAACCACCAACCTGTAATATGTAACTAACTTTAATTATTTCAAAATACACTGCCCTGACGATAATGCAAAATATTACTATGTAATTTTCAATTTTAGGGACCGATTTTGATGAAGACTTAAAACCAGACCAGACTTAAACCATACTCTGGAAGATTTAGGCGGTCTACTAAAATTTGGTGGCAATTATGGCCGTTCTGAAAGTAAATCTGAAATTTCATAAATTTTGGGCTATTTTGAAAGTTGTTAGGTTGGTACTGGACGTACTAGATTTTTTTTTCTCGAGACATATTCGTGCTAGATGCAGCCTGCTAGTGGTATCTTGGTTTGTCGCAATCAGTTTGTAAATTTGAAAGTCATGGCCAGAAACAATTATTATTTATTAATCTTAAAATGCAAATAATAATACAAAGTAAACAGGACTTTTCAAAAATAGGTATTTCTAGTTAAGCCATCTATTGGCAATTTGTGTGGGAAAGGTAAAGCCTTCATTGATGTACTGTCAAAATTACATGACATTTAGACGAATAAAAATGATCGTGTGGATATAAATGATGAGCAACATGTTGGCCAATTGAAATCCGTGATCACCGCAGATTCCATCAAAACTGTGCGTGAATTCATCAAAGTCTTAATTGAAAGTCACGGAATTGGAATTGAGCATCTGAAAAACATCTATTTATCGCATTTTGGCCAAACATTTGGGCTACCGAAAAGGTTCTGCACAAGTTCACTGACAATCAAAATTTGTTCAGAATTCGACATTTGAAGGACATCCTCAAAACATCGTGATTGGTGATGAAACGTGGTGTTTCCAATATGATCCAGAAACCAAGCGCCTAATGGTCATTTTAGATGAAAAACCCACGGAGTGCTATTAAATTAGAGGGTGGAAATTGGAGGTAGGGGTGAAAATGCACCCCTTTCAGTTTTTTAATTGTAGCTCGAAAACAAAGCAAAATTTCGCTATAGTTCATAGGAAAAATTATTTAGAGAATTGATTTCCCATCAAAATGGCTTATTTAAAAAAAAAAATAAAAGGAAAATTTTAATGCAAAAAATCTTTAATAAACAATTTGAAAAAAAGCAAAAAATTCGATTTTTTTATTTTGTTTTACTTTTTTGCCTCTAGTTTTTTTATAAAGTAAAGATAGGTATAGGCATTGCTTCATAGAAAAAAAAGTAAATAAAATTTCCTTCAAAATAAGAGGTTGTAAAGTATTTTTGGATGAAAATTGACTGATATATGGCCGCTCAGACTTAGCCTATTTTTCGATTTTTGTCGCGTTTACCCTTAGACGTTTAAATTCTAATTTTTTGCAAAAAAGGATGGAAATAAGAATAAGACGTTCAAGGAATTTCATCACGACTTGTTCGAATGGTCATTAAAAATGAAAAAACCGCAGGGTGCTATTAAATTGGAGGGTTGAAATTGAAAATAGGGGTGAAATGCACTTTTTCAGTCTTTTAAATATAACACGAAAACGAAGCAAAATTTCGGTATAGTTCAAAAAAGTCAAAAAAAAATATTAAAAAATCTAATTTTTTGCTTTTTTAAAATTGTTTATTAATGATTTTTTGCATAAAATGTTTCTTTTAAATTTTTTACATAAGCCATTTCGATGGGAAATTCAATTCTTTACAAAATTTTTCCTATGAACTACTTTATTTCTTACCTATCTTTACTCAAAAAAATACTAGAGGAAAAAATGTAAATAAATCAAAAAATCGAATTTTTTGCTTTTATTTCAAATTGTTTATTAACGACTTTTTGCATAAAATTTTCGTTTTAAATTTTTTAAATAAGCCGTTTCGATGGGAAATTCAATTCTCTAAATAATTTTTCCTACGAACTATAGCGAAATTTTGCTTCGTTTTCGGGCTACAATTAAAAAACTGAAAGGGGTGCATTTTCACCCTTATCTCCAATTTCCACACCCTCTAATTTAATATCACTCCGCGGTTTTTTCATCTAAAATGACCCTTTGAACGATTCATGCAATAAAATTGCTTGAACGTCATAGTTCCTTTCAATCCTGTTTTTTTGGACATAATCAATAGCAATAAGGGCCGAGTGAAAGGTGCCAGATGATCCAAAACCCAAAAAATCTCATTTGGAGAAGTCAGAAGTGAAGACGATGATTTGCTTTTATGATTACAAGGGCATTGTTAACAAAGAGTTCATTCTACTGGGACAAACCGTTAATGTACAATTCTATCTTGGTGTTTAGAAGCGTTTGGTGCATCGTATCGGCCAGAATATCGCACAGAAGTTGGCATTTAGTGCACGATAATGCGCCATCTCATTGATCGACACTTATGACCGATTTGTTGACTAAAAATTGCATTTTAACTGTTAACAACTCCCCATATTCGCTTGATTTGGCACCGTACGACTTGCCTTTTCCGAAAAATGCATTTGCCGATGAAAGGAAATAGTTTTGTGGACATAAAAGCCATCCAAAAGGCTTGTACCGGCATCCTGAAAGACATCTCAGCCAATGATCTAAAACACTTATTCGACATGCTTTTAAACCGTGCAAATTGCTGTATTGAGTCGGAACGGGATTATTTTGAATAAAATATATCGGTTTTGCAAAAAAAAAACTTTCTGTAATTATTTTTAAAAAGTCTTGTTTACTTTGGAACTCACCTTGTGATAAATGTGAAATTACCAATACATACAAGGAGAATTAAATTAAATAATCATAATTATGATTAAAAATATTTTATACTGTAGAAAACTACTTTAATTAAAAAGTTTTTAGTCTGTTTTCAAAAGCAGTACTATTACAGTGGAAAGTCTGGAACGGATAAAATATTGCAGAATTTAATACAATAATAGTTTATTCCTGGTTTTTGAAAGTGCAATAGCTTCAAATTATTTGTATCATACGTATCACAATCATGGTTATTGTTGCGAATTAAGTAATTCGATAGGTTAGTGATATAGTAGTAATAGATAAATACAAGAGATTAATATATTTCATACAATAAATATGTCTTCTCAGCAATTTCTATAGTTTGGATGTGTAATAACTTCACACATTCTTTTAACTGTAAACACTTGCCATATGAATTAAATGACCCTGGTTTAATATGTTGTTTATCCTGCTTGTGAGATAGTCAACATGATGTTGTGAATCCCAGTTAAATTATAAGAATTTAACTTTTCAAAGAGTCAACACTATACATCTACCTACAAAGATAGAAGTTTGATAAAAGATTAAGTTTTTTCAATATTTAAGGTCAGCTTATTTGTACTAAATAAATTCTAATATTCTTTTATTGGCTATTTCGAAGGAGACATTGTTGAGTCACTAAAATTAACTGTGTAATTATTTATGTACATTGAGGCATGTTATATTCCATATTTTTTAATTCAAATCAACAGCTTATAAATTATATTCAACATATTGTTCTTGATCCATTAGGTAAGATTGTTTTGGTTGAAGTTATATCTTCGTTTCCTTAAAAGAATGGTATGGAAATATAGTTGAAGGTCATAAAAGCAGGCTTCCGTTTAATTATTTAAGTAAGAAAAGAAATTAACGTTACTATTACTATATTGACCTGGCACGTAAAGAGAAGTAGTTTCAAAATATGAAGATTTCAAAGATTTGAAAATTCTAGCTGCCAGGATACCAATGAAATAGGTAGAGTTGTAATTTTTAATCGTTTAATGTTTTCATTATTACATTTCAATTTCTAGGATGACTCCCGTCTACCCAAATGATTTTATACACAATATACACTAAAATGAATGTGTATATTTCTAAAATTATAAATTCTCTTGACCTGACTGAATTTTATAAAAGATGTATTTCAATAAAATGTTGTGCAAGTGAGTGAACAATTAACTATATAATTCACTAGGTACATCTTCTCCTTTAGCAGCACGAACGAACATTGCTTTGTTAGAAGGAGGTGAACTGAGAACTTTCCAGAAGTTTTCTGCAGTTTCCATTTTGTGTCCGTCCTTATAAGTGTGACAGCTTACGACACATTCAGGTCCATAGAAAGAAGGCATCCATTTTGACTGTTCCGCTGCTAGCAGCTTTCCAGAAGCAGTGTGTTTAATGATAACTCTCGAATTCGGTTTAAAATTTGTACCGGTAGTTTGATAACGCCTTTTAGGATCCCAGTGAAGAAATTTGAACCTGAAAAGGCATATTTATTGCATGGAATTTTATAAAACCAATGTTACAAGCTAGCACAAGAAAATAAATCAAGTTGCTGATTTCTTGAATATAAATATTACAAATTAAAATTTGAGAGGTTTTTAATAACAATTCCTTGCTTCATTTTTGTTTATCAAGATTAAACAGAAAATGTACTGGCATAAAAGTCTAAGGAAAATTTCAACTGAATCTTTTAAAAAACACAATTATGAGTCAAATCATGTATCTTCTGAAAGAGATGTATTAATAGAAAAAATACGTAAGTATGACTTGACCTACTTTCTTTGTAACTCATACAATACTTCATAAAGTCTGACCTGCAATAAATATCTGGGCACTGTGAGAGTTTTAGAGATAGATGTCCTCCGAAAGTGTCTATTGTAGAATTTTCGCATTGTATATATAAAGGTCTGGTCCCACTTTCGGATATTTGAATATACACATCTTCGCCATAAATTATAGGTTGGTCTCTTTTATTGCTATCACAGCCAATAATTTTGAAAGTATTACGTACACAAGGTTCTTTAATGGGAGAAGCAGAAAGCGCACAACCATGTTGAAAATGTTGAATGTAGTCTATATCTCTCTCATTTAAGACTCCTGACAGATAAAGTCCAGTATTTCCTTCACTAGAAACTATATCTGATGTTACTATTTGGTAATTTTGATTATACAATAGATATGGGGTTTCTGGAGCTAAAATTGTTGTTTTGAGCACATTTCGGAACATTTTCTTTGTTTTTTGGACCAGCAGCTGGCAGTGTTCTTTTTTGTAAGCAGTAATAAAATTTCTTTCTTCCCATAGCGCTAGTTCCTCGTTCCATAATCCTAAACGCACTGGCAAAGAATAGATTATCCGATTTTGATAAACCTGTTCCTGCTCTTCTTTTTCCCTATCTCTACTGCTACAGTGCATCATTTATTATTTTGATGAATTTTTGTTTACTAGAGAAAAAAAAGTCAAGTCAAAATAATTTGACAGAAGGAAAATATATGTTAAGCTGCTTGAAGTTGAAAGATAAGAATAGAATGAAAGCTATATTAAATTAATTTTGGACAAAATGAATAAAATGAGTAACATACTGCAAAAATTTAAAACCAATTGTATTTGCTAGTTAAAAAATTTGTATCGCTTGGTTATAAAATAGGTCTCTGACAGTTTCAAAATTTCTTGTTTCAGAAGTGGTATGAAGCAAAATATATGAGATTATGAGTGATCATTGACATTTCCTGGTTGAATACAATTTACAGAGGTGGTTTTTATGGGAACAAGGGTATGATAAAAGTATATAGCATACTAAGCCTACACTTGCTTATAAGTGTAAATCGTAGAAACTAGTAAGCTTTTACTAATTTATGATTACCAAATGGTTTTAAAAAAGGCGGCCTTTGGAGGATTCTTCCCATTGATCTGTTTTATACAGGGTGTAAACAGCTAGCTTGGGACAAACTTTCTACACTGATTCCGTACAACTTTAGAAATAATCTATATATAGATCATGTAATATTATAGTGCTTACTGACGAAAACAAGCATTTTTATTCATTCAATAGGGAAAACAAATAATTTTAAAATAAAAACCTTTATAATGGTCATATTTGCTTGAAGCCAGGGATATAAATTATACACTGGGTTAAATATGTGGATGTTCGATATATTTGCCTTTAATTTATTCTGTTCTCTTGCACTTTATTTATTTTTAGGAAAAATTAGAGGTACGTATTGCCATATATTTGTATGTTTGGTTGTAAAACAGGAGAGTACCTATCAGCGCATAATCTAAGGGTTAGTTCTAACCAAAAAGGCAGTTCTTAAAAAAAAAGTTAGTTCTAAAAGTTAAAAAGGGCAGTAGCAAAATTTGATTGCTTGAAGTACTATGAAATTGAAATTTCATAAATATTTGTTAAATGCCAGTCCTCTAAAAGGTTAATAAATAACATAAATTTATTGAAATAAAACAATGGCTATGTACTTTGAGTACAGTACATGAACATTTAAAATTAATAAACTCAAAAGGACAAAGAATTAGAGTTTATTGTCCGGCATTTAAAAAGTACTGCATTTTTTTTTGGTTGGGGGGAGGGGGTTTTTAGGCTTTATATTGGGAACAAGTTATTTGCACAAATCGAATTTTTCGAGCGCCTTCGAGTTAGCATAGGGTGATTGATTTTGGGTAATTTTTAAAATACCCTGGTACCTATATCTATTCTGCAAATATATCAGTACTACTTTAACCATTATTATTATATTTGTTTATCAGTCTTTAATTTGATTTTATATCTTTATAAGTTTGTTCTCATTGGGAAAGTAAAATAACGAGTTCTGACGATATTTATGACATTGTTGCACTGTGCCACTAGACAATATATCTTTCTCACTTACTACAGCTCGTAATAAACTGTTATTTACATTTTCTTTGAAACAATTAAGAATATTGCCAAAAAATTGTTAAGAGGGGAATAAAGATATTTTCTGAAAACAGACCTTCACCCAAGCATAGTCTTTTCAAAAACTGCACTATTTTCTGAGAAAATTATATGTGGCCTATATAGATAAGGTATTGAGCTAGGAGTTGACATATTTTTTATTGCAAAATAATTTGTATTATTGAAGTTATGGATAAATAAAGTATAACAACAAATTGAAATTTTATGTCATAGATCTTTATTATAATTTTACATCTCCTTCGTACAGATTTGAGGAACTAATCTGCACAATATTAGACTGAATTATGCAGTATTACCAGCAATGTCTAGATTTTTGTGAAATTATTTCTTTGGTAGCCATTTATTTAAATGTCATTAGTAGAGATACGCACCAAAGAGAACAACAAATATGAATGTTTGGAGCTTCTAGTCCAGATGGAGCCAGTATCAAACTTAACCATTAAAATTGTATGGCTTATAGAAAACTGTAAAACATATTTTAATTTTTGACTTCGTTTCGCCGTGACTGAATATATTTCGCAGTCACAAAATGCTCTCATAATTGAAAAATAAAATATATGACGGAACTAAGGAAATACGTCTAGGTCTAGGTTTGTCAAATAGATCATTATATACCATAATATGTTACCATATCAGTAAGAAATACTTAAAGTAATAAATAAATAATAAATACAGCCCTACCATACCTAGGTTTGTTTTCTGAAAAAGAAATTAACTTGGAAGAGCATAATGAACAGTAGATAATTGCGCCCGGGCACAATAAAGAGATGCCGACTTTTAGTTTTTATACGGTTTCAACTATCTTCGTAAACACCATACCTATATAGGCATATATTGTTTTCTGAAAAATAAATTATTTTTTTGGAAGAACAATAATGAATATTAAATAATGTTTGAAATTCTATGCTTTTCTGTGTGGTTTTTTGTTTGACACCTTATGTGCAGGGGTTGATTTATTAATTTTTTTTTTCGTTCAGATGCGGCTAAATTTTCAATAAAATTGATGTTAATAGCATTATATAATTACTGCTTACAAAAAAATACTGTGTAAGAGTAAT